AGCAGCACTTCAGCCTGTGGTGGGGCAAAGCAGAAACCTCAGCAACACTTTTGATGTGAGGAGTGCTGCATGCTGGGACCCTGACCCTTCAGCTGGGCTGAAGGATTGGTGGTGTCAGCCAGGCCAGAGAACTGGCTGAGCCTAAAAGAAGTAAATATAGCTACAGTGCAAGTTCAGTGTGAGATAACCAGGAATTTCTTCAGCCAGCTTTGCTGCCGAAGCTCCTGTGTCATCAAGCTACAACTTAATAGTTTTGGACTTTTTTCCAAATGCCTTATGATGAATCTCCTTTCTACCATTCCTTTCTGCTGTGTGACTTCAGTCTGCATCTGTGCAATTACAATCAAATCCATGCCCTGCCACTCTGTCCGGACACAGTGCTGTGCTATGGTCTGGCTGCATCCCCTGACATAGAGCAGAAGATCTTCAAACTTTGCTGTTTGTCTGTTAGCTCTGTCTTAGCTGTGTTTGGGACCTCATCCTAAGTGGAGGGTAGAAACCAGAAAATTTGCAGAGAAAATACCTCTCTAATCCGGATGATGATATCAGTTGTGTGAAGGTCTGTACAGCAAGATTGTTATTTCAGTCAAGTCAACCCAGATATTTCCCTGAATGATTGTCACATGTGGACTAGGATTATTTTTTTGTCACAGCGTACTCTGGTGTAGTTAAACCCAGAGATACCAGAGAGTCTACTTGAGTCTAAATTTCTTACCTTGACTATACTTGGGATTTGTCTGTGCTGGGGGGTGTGTGTGTGTTTGTTTTTTTTCTTTTTTTTGCTGGCTAGCGGGAGCAGTTTGCTTTTTGTAGACACTACTACATGAGAGAACTGTGTGAGCAAGCAGCAGTGACCTGGAGGTGAAAAAATTCTGCAATGTTGTTTGGTTGCCACCTTCTGCCATTGCAGTACCAAAGCTCATTGTAGTATAGTGGCTTTTAGGCCTATTTGTTTATTTGTACTCCTCATCTACAAGATACTGATGTATTTTTGAACACTCATGTCTCCTGTTGTGTGTTTACTCTTGGAGATGTTGATGAAAGCATGAGGAATAGAAAAGTATTGTGTATTCCTGGTCTGGATCTGCAGTTCCCTAACATCCAGGGAGACCTTGAATTTGATGCTACTTTCCTGTTTCTTAAGGAACAAATGAAGCTATGAATAATAAATACAAGCTCTGGGGCAAAGCTATTTTCCATTCATGAAATTCAACCATAAAGACTGAGTAGTAACTTCTCAGCCTGCTGCAATGCAATAGGAACTCCATATTGGGACTACAAAGCTCCCAACAGCTTCTTCAGCTCTTGCTGTACCACAGTTAATAAATTGGTTCGACTCTGAGTTTTATCTAAACACAACAAAGAAGTCTCCATCTAAGTGATGCAGATTAGTGTAGTTTCCAATCTGAGCAGTTTGAACTTGAAAAAATAGAGACAAAACCCCTTCTTTCTGTTGGCTTCTCTTTTGACTTTTAGAATGAGAAATAGCTGGGGCATAGCTCCAATAAATCAAGAGAAAGAGCAGATAAAAGTTATGGCATTGTGTCTTGGGCTGAATTAAAACCTATTGTGCAGACACTGAAATTTCTGCTTCAGTGGTGACGGGGTGAGAAATCAAATCACACGATGCCAATAATTTTCTGTGGTCTTGATCCTGTAGTTACTTGTGTTTCAGCACCTGAGGGATCCGGTGGGAGCCCAGGCAGAGCCCTGCTGGGAGGGAGACAGGGAGGAGTGGGTAAATCAGAACAGTGGTGCAAAATTTGAGGAGCCTCTTTAATTTGGGTGCTTTAGTAAAGAGCATCTCAAGCATTCAGTTGGGAAACCTGATAATGACTAGCTCTCCTCCTGCCCTGGAGCAACCTGTTGTTTTCCAGACCAATGTTTGTCAGGTAGTAGTAGGAGGTGAAGTTATCCAAGGGGCAAGAGAGCATCCTGGATCAAAGTATCTGATCTTTTAAGGTAAAGCTTCATTAAACTGGGGAGAAGGAAATCAGCAGCAGAGAAGAATAATCTGTGCATTTTATCACTCTGCTAATCCCAGCTGTAAAACTTACTATAGGAAAGCTAATAAAATAGGAGCCACACAGGCAAACAGAGGGCACAGGACTATGGACAAACATTTATTTTGGCTCTGGTGGAGCCACTCTCCTGATCAAAGCAGTTGGAGTGTGACCCTCTTCAGTTGTTCCCTGCTCAGTCGGGGAGTGCCCTGCTCTTGCGTTGATGGCATCAGCATCCTCTGTGCATCTGAGTGGAGGAAGTGTCAGTAGGAAGAAGGAGAGTATGTGTAGGAAAACAACCTAAGGCTTATTGAATTACTAGATACTACAGGCATTATCAGAGGGCCAACAGGGAATGCTTTACCATCTTGCAGGCTCATGCCTGGCAGACTGAGCAGCTCTGCAACCCTTGTCAACAAAATACCCCACTGGCAGATATCATCTTGAGCCTCAGGCTGGGCCCCTCAGGAGCCTTTTCCCTGTCTGAGCTCATTGTTTGGGGTTCCCCCCTTCTCCCCCAACTAGAGAGGCTTGAATCCCTCTTGGGGATTAGTCTCCTGGCTGAAACGTATTCATCTTCTCTGTATTTTCAGACTTCTGCTATGGAAAGAGCTCCAGTTTAAGACTTAGAGTGTGGGTTTATGACTTAGTCTTGGTTCTTCAACTAAATTCCAAGAGAACATGGGCAAGCAATTTATGTGATAGGAAGCCAAATGTTGTACAGCTGATGCTGGGAGCTAGGTGCTGCAATGTCTGTGTGTGAGCTGGGCAGTGAAGGATCAGTGAAGGAAGGTTTCGAGGGCTAGAAGTCTGATGCTTTAGAGATTAAATTCCTGGGTTTTGGGCAGCGGAGGCTTCTTGCAGCAGCTTCTGCTACAGAGGTTCTAGAGGAGCCCTGCACCATGCAGAGGCGAAGGCTGGCTTATTTGCTGTGGTGGGCCTGGGATTTTGGCGAAGATCTTGACTGTTGTTGGGATTGATTTCAAACAGAAGTGCTTAAACTAGCACTGGGTTTGTTTTTCATCTGGTGAATCTTTCAGCAGATAATAGACCAAGAAGCTTGGTGGCAGGAATTTGGGTTTTAGTCATGCTTTTGCCGTGTGGTTGTGGTGGAACGGAGCTGACCAAGCAGACTCTTGTGCGAGTGCTGCTGCTGAATGCAGTTTTGCTAGCTTCTCAAGGTATGGCTCTTCTGATATCATGGTGATAACCCTAACCCTTCTGGAATCATGGTGAGAGAGGTGAATCTAAAGAGCTACTGATGTGAGGAGAGAAAACTGAGCTTGTATCTGTATTGTGATACTCTCTCATTGGTTATGAAGACCTAAACCACGGCAGCAGTGGTGACTTGGATGAACTGCTTCCAAAACAGCATCAGCACTATGGAGTTGAGCCCTGATCTGAGGCATGGTGGCCAAAGCTGTGATGAGCTCCCCTGGCTTGCTTTCTTTTCTTTTTTCCCCAAATTAGAGTGTAATAGAAATGGGCTGAAACTGCAGTGTGTTAAATGTGCTCTAGCCTATTTTGTGGTGCTTGCTGGTTCATGTCTGACAGTGGTAGGCCTCCCTAATGCAAGTCAGGCTTCAGACCTGGTTGCCTTTGCTGGGATAGCAGGTGACAATTTTGCTGCATGGGAGGGAAGCAAGGGACTATCCCTTGCTGCTAGCTGTTGGCTGCTCTGCAGCATTGATAATCTGTGCAGCAGGGATGCCCTTGCTGCTTGGGAACTTGTTTGAGCCACAGCATGTGGGTGTTGAGGATGGAGGCCCTGTGTCAGAGCTGCTGTGTGGCCAGCTATGAGCCACAGCTGCCCTTACTGTGCCTGCTGCCTCTCCAAGATGAGGTGTGCAGCCCAATGCTTGCTACCATCCCTCATAAGCCTGTGCTCAGCTCCAGGACCCTCCTGTGGCACTGATTCCTGCTCATACTTGCCCAAATAAGAATGCAACCCTACTGCTGATCCTTTCCCTACACTCAAGAACCCCAAGTCCCCCAAGCAAGTCCCCACACTCTCCAGCCGAAGATCCTAATCCAATGTGCTGGCCTATGCTTGGTTATCAAGCTACCCATCAGCTATGCCAGCTGCAAAGGCTCCTGGAATGGGAGGGTTTGATGTGCTGCACCTGGGAGTGTAATTTGTGTTTACTTCTCCTGGGGCTTCATGCTCAAAGCAAGTAACAGTTTGTCCTCTGCTAACATAAAATGTGTGTCAACATGACTGATATTTCATATTAAAGAATAAAGGGCTCATTTAACTTGCTTCCCTCTTTTTCCCCCCCTCTCTTTTCCCCCACTTAAACTTTGGATGGATCCTAGAATCATGAGGAAAAATGAGAAAAAGTTATTCTTTCATTATGAATTTATTGAGAAGCAAGAAGAGCACATAGCTTAGGTACAGAATAATTCACATATCACTTAAGACATTAAAGAACAAAAAATTCCAGGTAGACTCCAGAAGACTCAAGTGATACAAATCCAGTGACAGGACATGGATCACTGGAAAAAAGCACGTTCATCCTATTTGGTCTTTGTTCTGTGGCTATAACAATCTATACTAGTGGAGGCTCCAGACAAGCCCCAGGGAAGACTGAAAATATTGAGTGCTGTAACTGCGTAATATGTGATAAGGATGAAAGTTGTCTTTTAGCCTGTGTGAGAAATGGATACCTCCATAACATACTGCCAAAAAAAAAAGTTTAGGCTCTTGGCTGTTCTGCCTCATGTTGTTTTCATCCTAAGATGAGAACGTTGGCACTGGATGCTTTCTACTTACAGCTGTATATATTAGAAGCAAAAAGTGGGCTATGGTGTGCATTTAGAGATAAAATTACTGCTAGAGGGTCTAGTGACTTCTCAAAAATATTGAATTATAAAGAGGAATAGCATCAGAGCCACCATGTGGGGATTATTTCCTTCAGAATCATTGTAGCATGCAAGGAGCTCACTTTAGCTTTAATAGTTTTTGTAGTCCATAGTTTTCCTGAAATTGGTTTGTTGCTAATAATAGTCTAAATAATTTTTCACGGTAAAATCAGCACAAGCAACAGTGACGTGATCTTCATTAGTCAGCTTTGCTGAAACGGTGTAATCTCCCTGTACAACACAAACACAAAACAAGAGATTAGCCCATCAGTAGTATATAATGGCTTCTGTTTCTGTGAGGGAGTCCTCTTCCTAGAAACAGCATAAGACTTTTCCCATCAAGTTCCTCCAAAACCTTTCCTATCCAAATGTTTCAGAACTGGTAAAGGACTTGCCCATATCTTCTGCCAAAATACTTTCATGAGGGATATCAATGGCACAAGTTCAAAACAAAAACAGTGCAAGGGGAACAAAATGTGTTGATGCATAAAAATTTCTTTCAAATCTGTATAACTTCTCATGTTTTGTATGAGCAAGCACAATATGGTCTGTGTTGTTTAGTAACTGGAAGGCAAAGAGGTGCTCAGTTGTCTGGCACTTCTCTTGCTTGGATCTTGTTGTTCAGTGTGTACTTTGTTATTGATACAAATTTTTATAACAGAGCACCCTGGGGGATGCTTATGTGCAGATGACTCAATCTGTGATGAATTCCTATAAAATAAAACAAGAGTTAGTTAAATTTAAAATTGTGTCGTTAAAACTGCTAATAATTCAGGCTTCAGGGAGAACTTGTATCATTGCAGTACAAAAAATTTCAACCTCAAGGAAGCCATAGCTTTTTTGTATTGATCGAAACTGCTCTTCAGACACTTGGAGAATGAGAGACACTGGGCAGGGAAGGTGACAAGGCTCATCTGACAGATTTGGAGGAAGATGCGAACTGGATTTCATTCACTCTAGATTGCTGACACTGCAGTATTTCTTTCTGTTTTTTCTAGAGTGTGGGCACAAAACCTGGAGTAGGGCAAAACCTGGAGTAGGAGAGCTTGGCAGTGGTGGCCTCCTGGGTTTGAACTATAGAAAGCTCTTGTCCTGCTCAGAACTCTTGTGGTTGTGGAGCAGAAGGAGGGGCAGCTAGAATGAGTCAGGTTTCTTGGCATTTGCCTCTTACCGTGGGATTTCTGAAGCAATAACTGGCCAGTGTCCTCACAGAGGGGTTCAAGTTAAGTGTAGCTTCCAAATGTAGAGAGAGGCCCAAAGGCAACGTGCTCATAAAAATACAGCCTTGTTGTTATTGCTGTGCAGACTGCGCAAATGTCCTTTGGGCTGCTGGGATGAGGCTGTTCTTTGTAATGAGAAGATGATTGCTGCATGGAATAGCTTCTTATTGCTGGTATGGAAGGATGGATGATTGCTGCATGGAATAGCTTCTTATTGCTGGTATGGAAGGATGGTGTTATTTGCCTGATTGATTAATTAACAAAAAACGCTTCCTATTCCTCTCACAAGCATGTTAATTTTCCAAAAGCTTATAGTTTCATTCATGGAAGGGAGTTTATAACTCATTTCCATTGTTTGTTAGTGATTAGGTTTTTTCTTCCTCCAGAATAATTTTTTGCTCATGGGTAAGAATTCTTATTAAAAGAGGATCGTGAACAGTCTTAAAATTTCTGGCTCCAAATTCAGCTAATTTGCCTAGAGCTGGAGTTTTATTGGTCTGTGTGGATGTTTCTAGAGCTTCCTCTTTGTCTAAAGACCTATTTCTCAGTCTAGAGCCCTTACTACAGAAGTGTCCTCAGTATGTTAGTAAAGCTGCTCCTGGAACAGGATGTTGACTGATAGGAGCTTGGGCACTCCAGTGTGAGAGAGCAAAAGGAATTGTTCACAACAGCATTGTTAGGCATAGCCTTTAGGGAAGCAGACTGGTAAGGGGGCCCAACTCCCTGTGTGAAAGCCTTGGAAAATGAAGGTTGGCGTTGCTGCTGTCACCAAGGAAAGACTGAGACATATGAGATGGTAGCTGTCATGGAAGCTCGATCTTCCCAGAAGCCAGCTGTACCTTGTTATCACCCCGAGGGTCTTGGCAAGCCTGGGTCTCAGGGACTCGCTTTCTTGTTCTGTATTTCTGTTCTGATCCTGTCCACAGACCTCATTGTTGAGTCTGACATAGGTTTTATGTCTGCTGAAGAACTGAGAGCTCATGCTGTGTTTCTCTGTGTGAGTAAATCTAAGGAGTGTTTGACTGACACCTGAACTGTGCGCTTTGCAGTGATGACTGACTTTCTTTACCACATTCTCAACTGGATGCCCTGATGATCCAGATCTTGCCTTTTCCCCTTCAATCCAGTCTCTTCATGTACGTGGCTAAAAATCCTTTAATACTTACTGGTCAAATATAGCTTTATGTTGTGCCCAGTTAAGAGACACTGTGGTGCTTTCAGCATTTGAGACCTATCTTGCTTTGCAATATGATTTGGTTGACCTAGAAGGACGCTTAGCCGAGTGTGGAAAAGGCTGCTTGGTAAGAGCATCTGTAATGGATGACCAGGAATTTCAGAGAGGTGTGTGGAATACCACCTTTTTTCTCACCTTGCTAAGAAATTATTTTCTTATTTTAAGGCTCTGTAAGTCCAGAAACGGTGTTCTTGGCCCCAAAACTCGTACTTTCAGTTGCAATCTAGAAGGCCTCTCTGTCTGTATTTAACACCATATGTGTATAGTGGAATGCATACAATTGCAATAGTTATCTACATTGCCTTTGTAGCCAGTGAGGATCAATGAGCTTCTACAAATTGTTCAGCCCACTAAGAAGTGAGTTGAATTGCAGCCTTGGTCTCTCAGGAGTCCCTTGAAGCTGCTGCTTTTGCTGCTATTTTAAGAGTAATAGAGGGAGAGCCTACTGAAGAACTGTATGGCTCCATGATTTAGGGCTGGTAGAGGGGATCCGCTATCTTAAGAAAACCTATGCATCTCTGGATAATGATATGTCTCTAACGCTTTAAGCAAAGCCACTTCACTTCATATGGAAAAGGATTAGTCATGTAAATACTATCGGATCCAGTGTATCAGCTGGCTGAGCTTGGAATATGCTGATGTGATTGCTGGTAGTACTCTGACCATAACTCATGCAGAAAGCCCTTCTGCTTGGGAGCTGAGCTGTGACCAACTTACCTGTGGGATTTCTTTGATTCCCAGTGTGACTGGTCCCTCATAGTAGAGATGTTCTGAAAAGCAAAAAAATAAAAGGTGGTGGGTTTGTTAGACATGCAGCACATGAAGACAAAGTAGCTGATCAAAGATGCTTTTTTGTAATAGCACTTCAAAGTGTTCCAGCGACAAGTGTTATGGAACTGCAAAGAGCTCCATGCACAGTCTTGCGACAGACCTCCTGAGAGAAGTGTCAGGATGTGTACTGCCTCATGGGAAAAGCAGGGCAGAACTTGGGCTCCAGGATGACCTGCAGTCCCTGAGTGGAGAGGGAGGCATGGCTTTGCACAACCGGGTGAGTGTTCCTATGTCAGCATGCATCCTGCAAATGGGGAAATGAAAGGGGAGGGGGATTACCAGACACAAGTCCCTTTAGCATAATCTATTAAACACCTGCAGCTGCAATAGTTGAACTGGACTGTGTTGGTAACTTTAAGAAAAACCAGAGCTGAGTGTTTCTGTAGGTGTGGACTTCTGACTGCTTGATAAACGTGACCTTAAAGTAATTAGAACATGTATGTCTCACTGAGGAAGCATTCATCAAGAAGTTACATGATGTGCTAAAGCCATTGCAAGTTGTGTTGGTGACTGGAATAGAGTTGAGGAGTTCCACCTTCCAATCCTCATCTCCCCAGTCACAAGGCATGTTTGCTCTTTGCTGTTGAAAAAAGGGCAACTTTGGCATCAATGGACAGAACTAGCAAGCTGTTCTGCAGTTCCTCCCACTTTTTCGTAACTTACTGGGCCAAACTGTGCAGACTTGACTGAAAATAAAATTTGTAGATATTTCAGTATTTCAGAATTTCTTGTACAACTTGGCCTTCACAAGTCATGGAAAACTCTAAGAACTGTTTAAGGATTCTCTTTTGGTAGGTGTCATGAAATAGTCTTTATTTCGACAGTGACAGAGGAGTAAATGCTTCATCATAAATATGAGTATGTGCTGGAATCTTGATGCTTGTTATGTCTAGAGTTGTTTTAGTCCAGTCTCACTGTTCTGGTTTAAACTGTTTCTTGTGAAAGGTTGGACAAAAGGTTTGTAACATGTTTGTGTTGTATGGTCTATCCTACTGTGCAGTAGGTATCTGACTTGGAAAGGAGTCCACAAAGGCCTTGCCTACAAGTGCTATGAAATGTTAGTCAATGTCTTGTAACAAACTTACATGAAAGAATCATGACTATAAGACAAACTAGGAAAAAAGTAGGAGAAATCAGACTTCACCAATGTTCCACCCCTGTGCATTAATGAGGAGTTAAACGTAATGCCGTGATGATCCTGGGAGATGGAGAAAATGCAGAATTTCTCAGTGTTGCCTTGAAAAACCTAATACCAAAACAGAGACTAGAATAAGTATGTTTTGGCTTGTCACTCTCAAACTGATCAACTGTGCAGCACTTATGGTACTCATTCCCCTCTGCATTCCTGACTACTTCACCTGGACACCAAGGAGTCTTTTGCTTTTCAAAGAGCAGGCACTATTGCTCCTTGCTTCTGTGCATGAAGCAAGAGCCCTGCAGTCTGACACATCTCTGCTGCAGAGTGCGGTGACTGAAGAATTTTAAAAATATAGTACAGCCCACTTCTCAGTTCATAACTTATCTAGAGTCTTAATGGGAGTTAAAGGCACTGCAGACTGCATGACTTGAGTGATGAATGACTCCCTTGAGACTTCAGCTGTATGCGTGATGTGTGCTAAGCCATGTTGTGAGCTTCCCCCTGAGAGTGTTGTGGACCATGCAGTGGTGTAGCTTGTGGTTTGTGTGTCCTTTTGTTCAGTAGAGAGCCTTGTTTGACTGTCTCTCCTTCAGTCAGCTCTGAACCTAGCAAATCTTGGATGGCAGCACAGCGGAAAGTGGGCTGTGAACAATCACCCTTCCCCAAACTCATCCTCCACAGGGACATGGAAACTCCTGTTGTTAGGTCCTACCCTAGGCGGTCACAAAGCCATCCAGAATCTAAACATACAGATGCAGTATTCAGGCTCTGCAAAGCCTATATTTTAAAATGAAGTAGGATTCATCAGGCCATAAATTTGCTTCTGAAATGATGGCAAAGATAATCTCTCTGTCAGTGTAGATAGAAGCTATTTTATTCTTGCCACTTTGCAGAGACAAAGTAATAATTACATAGGTGAATGCAGTCCTAGGGCTTTGCTTCAGCCCTCTGAGAAGTTTTCTGTGATCACTCTGTGTGGTAGCTATGCCTTTGCTCGGTAATCAATGGAGCTACTCTCATGGGCTGTACTGATGAAGAGAAATAAAGAGATAAATAAGCTTAGACAATGCTTATGAAGACTTAGGTAATGCTAGTTTAGCTCAGCTTGGCAAATTCCTTAGCTCCGAATTTTGTATCTGTTTGAGTGATAAGGCTGGAAAGAAGAGTTACAGAACAAGAAGTCTACACATAAAGCCAGCCTTAGCCAGTTCTGTAGTTTGGGTAAAGGCCAAGAAGTAACTGAGCCTGTGTGAAGTTAAAAGGTTACTAGCGGTGATGAAGAGGAGTTGCCTATCTTCATCGCCATGACCCATGATGACCACCACAAGGAAGCACCATGCAAGTGCAGTCGAGAAGAGTTTATGGAAATGACTTCTTGGAACTAATTTTAATATGAAGAGGGAAAGGTTATGCATATGTGTAGGTGTATATGAATATGCAAAATGGAACTCTAAGTTATAGATGGCTTGGCAATATTGGCACTCATGTCTTTGGTGCTAACCCCCATGTGCCCAGCGCTGAATAAAACATACCTACTTTACAATTGGAGGACTGTGGAGTCTCATCTTTTCTGCAAGTCAGTACTATCTTTTAGGGAGCTTTCAACTGTGGGGCTTGGTGCTGTGTGTCCAGTTTGAGGTCCATGTTTACTGCTTCACGCTTTAGTAATGCCCTTATTTAGCTCTTTCTAACCTGGGGTCTGGCAGTGGTTCAGTTATTAACCATGTGGAACTACTCAAGAGAGTCCAGTGAAGGGACACTGATACAATCACAGGAATGGCAGGGATTGGAAGGGACCTCTGGGGATCATCTAGTCCAACGCGCTTGTTAATGCAGGTTCACTTAGAGCAGTCTGCACAGAACTGCCTCCAGGTGGGTTTTGAATATCTCCAGCCATGGAGACTCCACAACCCCTCTAGGCAGCCTGTTCCAGTGCTCTGTCACCCTCACAGTAAAGAAGTTCTTCCTCGTGTTCAGTTGGAACTTCCTATTCTTTAGCTTGTGCCCATTGCCCCTTGTCCTGTTGCTGGGTGCTACCGAAAAAGTCTGGCCCCATCCTCTTGACACCCACCCTCCAGCATCTGTAGGATCCCCTCTCCTCTTCTGGCCAAACAAGCCCAGCTCCCTCAGCCTTTCCTCGTAGGAGAGATGCTCCAGTCCCCTGATCATCCTTGTAGCCCTCTTCTGGACTCTCTCCAGTAGTTCCTCATCTTTCTTGAACTGGGGAGACCAGAACTGGACACAGTACTCCAGGTGTGTCCTCACTAGCACAGTTGTTATAGTTAGGCTGTGGCCAGCAACAAAAGTACCACGTGGCTGCCCCTGCTCTTGCCAGAGTGTGGAGGAGGAGGGAAAGAAACAGGCAGAAACTGGTGGGTTGGGATAAAGGCAGTTTAACAGAACAGCAAACAAAGGGAACAGCAACAACAATGATACAGATGAGGAGAAAACACAACACAAACCACAGAACCCAGAGAGCCGCTCTCCTGGACTGGACCACGAGTGCTGAGGGAGCTGGCGGATGTCATTGCTGAGCCAATCTCCACCCCGCGCCACTGCAACCCAGCATGATGGCACATGGTATAGAATGCCCTGCTCTGTTTGGCCAGGTTGGGTCAGCCTGCCTGGCTATGTCCCTTTCTGGATTCTGGTGAAAATTAACCCTGTCCTGGCTGAACGCAGGACAAGAGTAGAGATGGAGGAGAACTTCCCTTAGCCTTCTGGCCACATTCCTCTGAATGCATCCCAGGATACCATTGGCCTTCCTGGCAACAGCATGCATGGCTGGGTCATGGTTACCTCATCATCCACCAGCACTCCCAGATCCCTCTCTGCAGAGCTGCTCTTCAGCAGGTCAGCCCTGAGCCTGTACTGGTGCATGGGTTTATTCCTCCCCAGCTGCAGGACCCTGCACTTGCCCTTGTTGAACTTCATTGGTTTCCTCTCTGCCCAACTCTCCAGCCTGTCCAGATCTCACTGAATGGCAGCATAGCCTTCCAGTATATCAGCCACTCCTCGCAGTTTTGTATTATATTTGTATTAGTTTGTCCAGTTAAGGGACTGGAGCATCTCTCCAATGAGGAGAGGCTGAGGGAGCTGGGACTGTTCAGTCTAGAGAACAGAAATCTCTTAGGGGAGAGAGCACATGAATCTGTACAAAGAAGAGAAGTTGTGAAGAGGGTGGAGCCAGGCTCTTTCCAGTGGTGCCTAGTGGCAGCATAAGAGGCAGTGGGCACAAACTGAAACACTGGAAGTTTCTCCTGAACATCAGGAAAGACTCTTGTTTTTCACTGTGAGGGTGAAGGGGCACTGGCAGAGGTTGCCCGGAGAGGTTGTGGATTCTCCATCCTTGGAAGTATCAAAAAACCCCACCTGGGCATGGTCCTGGGCAACTGCCTGTAGACGGCCCTGCTCGAGTAGGTGGGAGTTGGTCTAAATGACATTCAGAGGTCCTCAACTATTCTGTGGTTCTGTAAACAGGCCTTTAGAAAACTCTTGTGATCTTCCTTGCTTCAACAATGGGGCTGGGGGGAAAGACTATGCAGCTTTGAAAGTATGTCCTGATAGGAAAGCAAGGGCAGCTTTCATTTTCAGCTAGTTGAGACCTGCCAGGAAATAACAGATCCATAGATCTACTGAATTTTATCATTCACACTATCTTTGGACCATGGCAGCTTCCTCAGTGCCTATGCTGGCTGGATCAGGCTTTTCAAAGCCCATGCAATGTTCCTCTCACATGATGATTTTTGCTATAATTCCAGAAGTATAAACAACCTCTAGAGCTTTAAGGACTGTAGTTTATCACAGCATCCTTCATATACATTTTTCTCCGTATATTCATACAATTTTACATTCTTCCACTGAAAGAGGGTGAACGCATCTGCTGCAGTAAGTATAACTCTCATAAACACTGAGCCTGGCTCATTGAAAGAATTCTGTGGTCTTTTTAGAGAAAGCCCAGATGTAGTTGCAAAAAGTGTATGAACACTGGAAACAGTATGAATTAAGAGTGCGTTTTTCCAATTAAAAATTCCCCTGTCTTTATGGGTCTGCTGGTAAGTTATGGTATCTAGCAAGCATTCTGTCATCAGTGGTGTGCTCTCAGCCCACTTCCCATTTTCATCCCTTTTTCTTAAAGACTTAACTGAAGATGATTTCTGTAGAGAATCTTGGAAAACATTTCTAATGTACCCCTGATTCAAGATGATGTTGTATCTGTTGTAGCAGGTTTTCACTGTTTCTACCAAAAGCAACTTAGTCCTTTTCCCTGCGACTGAGCAGGCCTCCAGTAGCTTCCAGTCTGAAGCAGAGCTTTCAAATGTGTAAGTAAGAACTTCCTGAGGATTATTTCAAGTTACTAGTTGTCATTTATCATGAAGATGCTTCTCATTCCTGACAAAACACCTATAATGAAATTCTTACTCCTCTTTCTCAAATCTTCCTTGCACTGAAAACCTTTAAACATTCTCACACTCCTGAGCTATACAAAGGCCCTATACATCTGCACCCATCTCTTCCTTTTTCTATGTTTTAAATCTTTTTAGAACTTAAATGTTCCAAGTTGGTGTTCTTCTAGGACGTGATCTTGCACCCATGCAACTGACACACAACTTCCGTGACTTTTAGGCATGCAGGAATGATCTGGGTAACTGCCAGCTATAGATGTATAGTTGAGTGAGAAAAATGTATGTAAATACATAGCTGGGTGAGAAACATTCACTCTTTTTAATGGGGAGGAAAAAGTGAGATGAAGGGGCTAAGCAAGTACACATTGTATACCAACCCAAGACCCAACTTCTGTGGTACAGCTGCTTTTTCAGAAACATGTACCTGAACTCCCAATGTGATACCCTGTTCAGTAATTCATATTATATTTTCTACTTCTATTCGCAAATACTATTTTAGAAAGTTGCCCACTAACACCTATGGAAAGAGGCCTGAACCAAGGCAGGATTTCTCTATGGTTTGGGAGCGTGCACAAGGAATTGTGCAAGTGCTCTGATGGTGCCTTTATCAGTTGAGCCTGAAAGAAAACTTGTGGACTTGCAGAGGTTGCAACTATCTTTTGTCAGGAAGCTTTGCTTAAGCTTGCAGGTTGTGGTAGGTCTTTTTCTGATTTTAGTGATTGCATTTGGAAATCTGTTAAATCTTAGGTAACTCCTTTCTCTGGAGGAAATGGAGAATAACCAGAACCTTCTAGTAAAATGAGGAAAAGCTCAGTTCATGTTGTGCCACAAAGTATTTAGCAGTTTTGTTGCTATTGTTCGTAAATTGACAATGATCCATGTCCTTGTAACCTTTCGGCTAACAGCTTCACAGCAGGTATAGAGCTCAAAGAAAAGTATCTTGGAATCTTACTTAGGAGTCCCAGCGAGCAGTGCCAGATGTGACCTTTGCTTAACATAAATAGTAAATACTACATGATTATGATGAGCATAAAACCTCTAGCTATATTAAGTCTCCTAAAGTATTTCCAGTCATAGCAGAACTGTAGCATTATAGGAGAGTAAAGAAAAATAAAGCAACCCCAAACACCCAAGACTCTGCCACATCCAGCTCTTATAAGTGTCATTTCCTCATAACTTCTGCTCTACTTGTCCATATGAGTAAGTGGACAAACAAAGTCTGCAGCAGAATTATATTCTGTCTCATTTTGGGAGAGGGAGGAGCAGGTAATTTTTGGCCTCCTTGTGGAAGGCAAGCAAATTCTGTGTGGAACTATATTTAAACTCAGATCAGGTCTGGCCAGATGTTGGAAATGTTGCCTGTACCACAGGGGAAAAGTGGCTCTGCATGAAAAGCTTCAGCTGAAAGGGCTATCTGCTCTTCTTTCCCATTGGGAGGCTGCATACTTGGCCATTCACAATGTTGTCCTTTCTGCATAGAGCATAGACTTACAGCTGTGCTAATAAGGTAAGTTATGGCTGTGCTGAATTGCCTCAAATTGGTCTTCAGCTCAATTGTGTGTCCTAAAATGTGGGTTGGAATCATATGTCAGCTAATTAAGAAACACCACATTTTCAGTTTGAACCTTAGTCTGAGAAAGTTCACTTCTTTCCTGCTGTGACTTAATTACTGAATAAAAACAGCTACTGAACAAGAAGGTACATATTAAAAAGTGTATGGTAAAGGTCCTTGCACTAACTTAGGGATGCTTCTAAGTGAAGATGTATAGTAGTATTTAAACAATCAACTATAGTTTTATATCATAATGTACTTCAATTAGAAACAATCACCAGCCAGTTTAAGATGAAGGGACTTGGAAACCTCAGGAAGTTTTGGTTTTGTGGCTCTGTGAATATTTAAACAATCAACTATAGTTTTATATCATAATGTACTTCAATTAGAAACAATCACCAGCCAGTTTAAGATGAAGGGACTTGGAAACCTCAGGAAGTTTTGGTTTTGTGGCTCTGTGAATAGCAGTCTATGCTTAGCTCAGGACTGACTCTACTTCTCCTTTACGTATTCTCTAAAGAATGTTATTTAGTACTTCATCAGAATAAGACAGGTTTTCAGTAGGTCTGTAGGTGGGTTTTTACCCCTTGTAATTCAACACACAATTGAAGAAATCTCTGAATTTAAATTTTTTTTTTTTTTGTCGATCTGGCTTACAGGATTTACATAATTGGTTGCTCATGCAGCATTTCTCTGTTATTCTTTGTGATATTTCTATGCTGTGTGAAATGTCTTAGTAATTTTCCAGGGGCTGTCTTACCAGTAGTACTGAACATGGTCTTTAAACTCATAGCCCTTGCACATGAATTACTACAGCCATATCAGGATGGAGATGCAAATGAATGGAAGGAAAGCAGAACTTGTGAAACTGACTGGTGCGCTAACAACTCTGAAACTTCCCTGCAGCTCTACCTGTTTATTTTAAAATTGGTTTAGAGAGATGATCATGATGTAAGAGGGATTTCAAAATAACCCTTTAATATAGGTGGATATTATAGTCCGCAGGCATGACCGTAGTTCTTCCAGACATGCCATGGCTAGCTTTGCACTACCTGGCCTAAGTTGTGGCAGAAGGGACCTTGAGGTGCCCAGGCTCACCTGTGACAATAGATGCCTGCTTTCTAGGGGCAGCTAATGCCAATGTAAACAACTAGTCCAAGAGTGTACCTGTTGCCACTTTGACTGGCATGAACTGAAATCATCTGACTGCTGCATAGGCCTGTGTTGAGCAGGAAGAAGATTCAAATCATAGATGGTATCAAATAGTATTTTGGTCCAAGTATCCTTATTCAAGCATAATTCCTCTTAAAGTGAGTTAAGAACTCTCTTTAAGGGCAGAAAGTGTTACTTGCTTAATAGTGAAGAACATGTTCAGAATGGCTTGTTTGTTTGCTCAGCCATTTCTTTTACAGATCTGGCCTTTATTTTTGTCATACTTCTTACTCACATGACAACCATGTATCTATAAATAGGGCTTATGAACCACTAAACTGTAGTGATGTGACCCCATCCAACAGCAATCTTTCATGAACCTGAAATCCCATGTGCATGCAATATTCTGCAATTAAAAGAAAAGCCAAGCAAACAGGTTAGGGTAAAACATAGGCTCTGAAATTAAAATATCTGTCCTACTGTGTTTCTGTCATCCATTAACATGCTGTTGAAGTAAACAGAACATTAGGATGTATTGGTGCTTTCAATAGCACAGCAGGTGCATCCTACTTGGAGTATTCAGTAGCCATCAAACACTTAGTGCTACCTAAATTACCTCCTTTCTTCTTTCCGCAGAAAATAAGCTTAGAAAGACCCGGCTTGCAAAGCGTGTCTGAGTAGGTTAATATCCCCCCCCTTGCTGTTCAACTGTTCAAGCCATTGAATATTTTCTTTTCACTGAGAACTCCTGATAGATAGAAATTCATGCTTTGGGAACAGGTCTCTAAGTCCCTTAAGGTATACAACAGGGGACATAATTGCATATATCTTTATTTTTAAATAAACTATGACCATAACCATTTTCTAACTATGAGGCTGATTGGCATTGTAAATCTTGTGTCTGTACATCTAAACTTTCTTTCCTACTGTCCCTAGCAGAGGGCCCATATCCAACTGGCCCTCGGGAGCAGCAACCTGTGGCTAGTACCTGCTGCCTGGGAAAAATGTAGCTGGCCTGAGCCAAACCTGTGCCAGGGACCAGCACAGCAGCTTGGCAGTGCTGGGAGGTTGCCTGCTTTTGTCCCTGGCTTGCTAACATAGATACAGCCGGTGAGGCTACTGGATTTAGAGGGAGGTCTTGTACTCTGAGTTGTGGGAAAAGTATTTGTAAATGCCTGCAATGTGATTTTGCAGGCTTTTTAAATTTTGCAGCCACCTGAAAACTGACGTTCCCCAGGCAAAAGGGCAGCATGTCTTACAGGAGGGAGACCTTTTGCATGCAAGGAAGGGCACTTGGCACACAAACTTATTTTCAGCACCAGGAGCATACAGCAGCGCTTTCGTACTTATGCCCTGGTAGTAGAGGTTCTAGGTGAGCTTAGGGCCAACAGAGTCACAAGAAGGTGGGTTTCCTGTGCAAGGATCATAAGGCAAGCTATGGCTAATATGAACTTGTGCACCCAGCCCATTAATGTGGTTCTGGTTTTGATCTTTTGTTGCTGATCGATCAAGTGCTGAAGGGCATAATTTCAGCTAGCACAGGTGGTGAGCTGATGGCATGACTGTTGCCTCAGGCTAGCACTTCCCCTGTGCTCCTCCAGCATGCTTCTCTGCCCCCACCTTGCGCTGTTGGTGTCCCTTCAGTCTCCTACCTGCAAGGGTCCGCCTTGGTAATGTGGTGGGCACTGCTGGTGTGGACACAAAAGTGTGGATGGGGGGGCTGTTTCATTTCAA